AGAAGATGGCAGTAGGAGCTAAAATGGCCAGTGTTCTTTAAACCTTGGTTTAAAGTCACAGAAACTAGAAATGGTCAAGGCCTGAGGACATCCTGATACTTCCTAGTTTCTAGCAGGTAGTGTTCTGTTCAGTCTGGGTTTTAATAATCCAGTCTGGAGACTTCTGCCACTTTCTATACTTGGTTCCTGTGTATAGTTCCTGTATTGTGGAAAGCTTTTAGTTTTCAGGTAGTTTATGTTTTCCCTCAGCATTTAATTCCATCACCAGTATTAACACGCTAACAATAATTTGCAGTATTACAACATAGGTTACTGCAGTTGTTGAAATTTAAAGAAGTGGGACCTGAAATGGCCTATGGTTCTTATTATGTAACACTCACTGCAACTTTAATTCTCAAACTCCATTTTACACCTCCATCAGTCATACTTTTCTAATGCTTCTAATGCTTATTCTTTATTCTGTTTTCTAAAAGTTCAGAAATTTGTAGGTGAGCTTGTTCTCTCCTTGGGAGCTGCTCCCATGAGGTATCTAGATTAGTTTTAATGTCTGCTTTCTCCAGTTACACAGCATTTCTTCCTGCATGACATGCTTAAAAAGCCACAGGAGTTAGTTTGATTCTACCACATACAGTCTAAATTTTAAATTCCTTTTTTTCTTTTGTTTTTCCATCCAAGAGGGGATAATGTGTAGGCATGGTTCTAGGATTTGACATTTGTGGCCACTCTAGTAATGTTCTTCAGATTATGCCTTAAAAATGACTCCTCATTTTAGCTGGTATGACCGAGAGAAATAGGTAAAATACCAGTGTAACTGTCGAATGGTGTCATCTCACCATTCAATTTTTATACTGCTCTTTCATATAAAACTGATATAGAACTGTGCTACCCGAATAGCTGTCTTTATAAAAAAATACAGATTTTTAAAATGTGTTGGCAGTGTTTCACTTTGCTGTTTTAGTTACCAACGTGAGCAGTAAAGCTGATAATAATGGAAAAATTCTCATTTTGAAACCTGTGATATCAGAATGAAAGACAAGGATGACGTATTTTTCCAGGTGGCTGCAAGTATGTAAAAAATGTCCTTGTTAATTCACACAGCCAAGATGTGTGAATGTAAACTACCAAGCATGTAAACCACAGATAACAAAACAAAAAAGAAAATCTTTAGCACTTGTATGTGCTTGACCATCTCGTTAACAAAACCTAAATTCCTGCACTTTTATAAAATTCCACTGACAAAAGCAGAAGACCATATCTGTCCAACGTAATCATTTCAAAAAATTCCAATATTTATTAAAGAGTATGCTGAATATCCAAGCCTATTGGATGCAGATGCAACTATTAGAGGTTGTTATATGTGTTTATTTGAAAACAAGAGGATGGTAGCAAAGTAGAGCCTTCCTCTGTGGAAGGACATGTTCAGTGTCTCCACCATAAGAGGCAAGATTTAGATTTCCTTTGTGCAAGAGAATCCTGAAGGATCTACAGGAATGTAAAGTGCATATATGTAAAATCAGAGTTCCTCCATGACTGCTTCTCTCCCAAACATTCAATTTGCAAACCTGCCAAACATCTCATTGAAAACTTTTTACAGTTCTTTGATGCTGTACATAATAAATTTGCAAACTCTCCATGCAGTTATTAATGTTTGTATTTTCAGGCTACTCGGAATGCAAAAGATCTATGTAAATATACCCTCTGGTTGCAGCTGTTGTGGAAAAAGAAGAAATTATAAGGGAGGTAATAAGAAACCTCAATGATTTCTCATTAGAAGTTTCACTTACCTAAGTGTCCCATCTCCTCCTTCTCCCACTGGTGCTTAGGGATGCAGAATGCTGGCTCAAGGGTATATGCCCCAGATTCTCATTCTGCTACTTACT